ATCTGTGGGGATCAGTCATGTTTCTATGTATTGTTTTGCACTTTATCTTTTTGTGGATTGCTTTATTTGGATCTTTCCATTTTTGTGTTATTCATTCTGCTTATTTCTTCCAGTTTGTGAAATGAAGAATCCTGCCTGATGTAGTTACAATGACAGTCCGCCCGTATATAGCTGCTGACATGTGCACTGTGCTGCCAGAGGTGTTCATCCACTCCTCAAAATTATTGAACTCAGGTGCCCCACTCTCTTCCGTACCTATGGGAGCATGCAATCAACCACCCAGGCATGCATCCAGTTCCTACAGACAGTCGTAAAAGGATCTCAACAAACTCCAGCATGGTGCCAGGATGGGATGCCACGGCGCAGTGGGCCTAGGCCTGACACCTCATGTCACCTGCAGAGTGTCCCTACCCCAAGACGTGGAGAGCTCCCAGATAGGGGGCTCCATGGTTGAACTGCCACATCCACACCAACACCACCGAGTATGATGCAGGGCATTGGCTCATGAGGTGAAGTTGCTCCTCAGGAACTGTGATCCAGTGAAAATAACTCTTGAGGCTTCAACATACCAAGACATTTGAACAGCCTCCCATTCCTGAACTCTATGGACAACCTCCCCAGAGGAGTGGAAGCTGTTCTAACTGCAGAGGGTGGGCCAGCACCAATGTGGACCCTATGGGTCCAGAATCGGCTTTGACTCAAGCTCCTTTGTATGAGAAGACTGGTGGACAGATGCTTTTGGCAACACAATGATGTATGTTAGCAATGAAGACATGTTTACATTACATTGAGATTCCAGAAGGGGGCCTTATGCTCCCTCTGATTGCATGACTTGTCTCAGACATTCAGGTCAGTCCTCCAATACAGTTTATGATTTTCCACTGTTTGTGATTGACATGATAAAATCATGTCAAAAGGGGGAATTGTAAGATTTCAGTCTTATAGACTCTAGTTACTTTATCAGCTTTAGTTACTTCTCACACCTTTTGTTACCTTTCATACCTTCATTTTCCTTGCTTATACATATTAAAACTGTATTGATGACTGCTGTATTAGGCTGAGTAAAACTTGGGAACTATAGGCTGAAACTTCTGTAGAAACTAGATGTCTGCAACCCACACCTAGGCCCACTTAGCATATTCCAAGTTCTGCTTTTGCTTTGTCTTGGGATGTCCTGCAGAGGCCGGGGGCTACAACCTGAGATGACCACCTGGCCAGTTTAACATACAAATTAGCATCACTCACACAGGGGGCCTGCAGCCCAGGCCATCCATTGTTCAGTGCCTATTGATGAAGATCAAGCTGCCACCTGACACACACACACACACACATATACCTAGATTTTACCACATTCCAACAAGGAAGTGCGAGCTCTGGCTTACACCAAATGGCCAATAGGATTACGAAGTGTGAATTGTTGTACCTTTGTTTAGGGTGGGCCTAGCCCAAAAGGATAAAATGTATTGTAAAACATAACTCAGGGTTCAGAGAATGGATCTCCTGCGGGAGCTCTGTCGCTCTGACCCCAGCGCTGTAAAGACTTCACCTGTGCTCAGACTTCCAGTAAACCTCCTGTTGATTTTAAGTAGTCCTCTCCTGTCTTCACTTCTCGCGCTTCCAACAAAAGAATCGGGTAATTTCTAACAATTCAGTAATTTCAAAATGTTAAAGTAGCATCTGTGGAGATCAGTCATGTTTCTATAGAGGCTAGTACCACCCCATGCCCCTCTGGCTGTCACAGAACTGACTTAGTCAAACCTCAGGTGATTTATGAGCCACAGACGTGCTGCAAATATGTGTTATGATTTTACATTGTTTAATAATGGCACTTTCCCTCTCTTTGTCTCTTGCTATAGGAACAGAGAAGAGGAACCGGAACGAAGCTTCACCCCTGTCAGCACTGTGAGGAGGCCTTCTCAACATCACAGTCTTTAAAGCGTCATCAACTTATTCACACTGGAGAGAAGCCGTACAGCTGTGACCAGTGTGGCTCAGGTTTTAGACAGTTGTGCAGTCTAAAAGTCCATCAACGTATTCACACTGGAGAGAAGCCATACAGCTGTGACCAATGTGGGGCAGCTTTTAGAGAGTGGGGGAGTCTAAAGGTCCATCAACGTATTCACACTGGAGAAAAGCCATACAGCTGTGACCAATGTCTAGCAACTTTTAGAACATTGGGGGATCTAAAGGTCCATCAACGTATTCACACTGGAGAGAAGCCGTACAG